AACATAGGTATGCATGTATCCCTGTAATACGAGGCTTTCAACTCTTTCAGGAGGATACCCAGAAAGGGAATAGCTGGGTCATATGGAATTTCTAGTTTTAGGGGTTCTTTGAGGAATCTCCATACTGATTTCCATAGTGGTTGAATTAGTTTCTATTTCCCCCCACAAGGTGCAAGGGTCCCTTTCTTCCTGCAGCCTCATCAGCATTTGTTATTATCTGATTTCTTCATGATACTCACTGTTCATATCAAGGATATGTAAAGAAATACAAAAATTAGAAGCCCCCCAAAAGAAAACTGTGCAATTGATATTAAATATCTTTGCTGTTAGGTTGGTGAAATTCACTGACCTAGAACATCAGATAAAGAAACCTAATTCATGGGCAACACCAATAGTAAATGGTTAAACTAGCTTTCAAACCTAGGGGACTGCTTCCAGAGACCATATTCCTAACTGCAGTTAACACTGAAAAGGGAACATATTCCAGGAAACAGTTACACTCTAAAGTGCTGAAGAGAACTTGGACCAACACCTTCAGGCATCTGGAGTTGGGCATGAAGAATTTAGGCAGTATCACCTCCATACTAAGGAAATTTTCAGTATCTAAGATGCTTAAAGATTTCGCAAGGTATATATCCATTACTGTAGAAAATCTAGGATTGTTCCACAAAAAAAAAAAAAAAGCAATGCCCCAGGCCTGTCTCATCCACAGAATCAACACTATAGGACCAGAAGCTACAGCCACCAACTGCCGGTGTCTCTCAAAGAGGCCCCAGTGTGGGCTGCCTTGCACCCTTTCCAAATTCATATGTTGAGGTCCTTATCCACAATACTTCAGTGATTGTGTTTAGAGATATGACCTCTGAAGAGGTCACATGGGTAAACCCTAAGCCAATGAGAACAGTTTCCTAAGGAAAAATATCAGGACACATCAAATACACAGGAAAGACACGTGAAGTCAAATTAGAACATAGCTGTCTACAAGCCATAGAGATACCTCAAAAGAAACCAACATTGGTAGTCTTTTGGCCTCAACCTTCTAATCTTAAGAACTGTAAAAAAAAAAAAAAAAAAAAAAAAGGTTTGTTTGGTTTTGGTTAAGATAGAGTCTCGTTGTATAGTCCAGGCTGGCACTGGACTTACAGCAAATCTGCTGGCTCACACATTTCTGTTACTTAAGCTACGGTGCCTGCGGTATTTGCTATGGCAGTCCTGGTAAGCTAGTGGCAAGGGTAGGAAGCAGGCCACTCACGTTAGGGTCCTCTGCTCAGACTGCCCTCCCACCATTGCTCCACCCCTGGGCTGAATCAGCCTGGTCCCCAGCCACTGCTGACATGTCTTTTCAGTCTCTTCCCACTTTTCACGGCTCAGAGGCCCTACTAGGCTACACTGTCTCCAGGTCTATGACCAGACTGGGTCTTTGTCTGGGCCATGGTGATGCAGAACCCTCTGACCTCTCTGCTTTTACACTACTTCCATCTTACAGAGCTAAATCTAGCTTTTGCTTTTCCATTCAGTTCTCATCTTTTGTCAGGTGCTAACCCCCACTGTTCTATTCACTGTTTTGTTTCGGTTAATCTTGAGACAGGGTTTCACTCTACATTTCAGGCTGGCCTTGAACTCACAGCAATCCTCCTACCTCAGTCTGCCAAGTTCTGGGTTTACAGACATGTGTTGCCCATGCCTGGTTTAAACCCCACATCTTTCAACAAAATTCTCTCCAGGAAGTTTCTTAGATTCCCACACAGTGTTTGCTTCTCCGGCACTTTCTCCATCCCAGGTTTCACAGGGACCATGGAGGCCCAAGCAGAAGAGCCTGAGTGTCTAGAGCAGACCTGTGTCCTTGGCCTTACCAGTAAAACTTACATTTTTTAAAGAGCTCAGATGTATGTCAGTTTAGTTTGGCATTTTAACCCTTCACGTTAATTCAAACATAGATTGATTCATCCCATTTTATTTTTTTTCATCCCATTTTAAATTATATTTGAAGAGTACATATTCTTTTCATATACTAAGTAGTGATTAACTCAACATTATTTCATATTATTTAGAAATCTACTTTTCCATAATGAGCCAATACTCTTACTATACTACTTCTTTACATACTGAATGCCACCATACATGGAAATACCTGCCACCTCCTGGTACTCATCTCCAAGGCTAAACAGTGCATGTGTGTGGCTTCTGCATCACCTGAGGTAATTGGTTTATCCTCACAGGCTACCATCTCACTGACTTCATAAAGTCAAATTCCTTAAAATGGTACCCCTGCCAAACCTTCCACCTTGTGTTTTGTCACTTGATCCCTTGGTTTCTCGTCACAGTCAAGTGGTCTTTTTGCCCATACTGAATTTTTCTACCCTTTCAGAGGACGGGTAACAGCTGTCCCGCTCAAAACTTTCTATGCTGCCCTTTTGTCTGGTTAGTGCCTACTGATCCCTGCAGTGTCACCTCTTCTTGGATGTCACCTCTTCTTGGAAACCTTCCGTGATCCTCCCACGTCAAGGTTATTTGCTCTCCTATGTGCTGTAGCAGCACTTATACATTTACACTCAACAGCACAATCAGCACTCTATGGTTGATAACTGCTTATTGGATTATTGCCGTTTTCCCCTCTTCTATTCATAATCCCACCCCTGGACAGGAAGTTCCTAAATGGGGTCAACACTCATTGTGAGACAGTCATACTTTTGCCAAATATCCCAGTGTAATCACTAATCATATCCTATTTGTTTTCTCTGTCCCCCAGGTCAGATAATAAATGATTCACTCAACACATGCATATGGGCAGTATTAAGATCTATCTTATTTGCTGTTTTGACTCTACAAAGGCTACTATTATTGACCCAAAACCCTCAAAACTAGAAAAAGTGAAAGCATAATGTGTTTCCATTTTAGAAAACAGAGAGTGAGATCTTAAAGATGCATTATTTGCTTTTCCATAACCATTATATGTCAGTTTAAATTATGAAATTAATTTCTTGAAAGAATAAAATTCTATATTACATATCAAAATGTTATGTATAAAAGATGAAGAACTAAGTAACTAGCCAACCTAATTCCTACAGCTGGAGACCTTGAGAACCAAAGTAACGTACAATATTTGAGTCAGTTTTTTTCAGTCATATTAGCACCCCCTTTCCAGCTCTTGAATTTTTACCTCCATTACTACTCTACGAATAGAAATAAAATGCTTAGATCAGTTACACGGTCTTGTCAAAATAACACAGCCTGCAATTATAACTTCCTGAGGTGCTTCTTAAAAATGTTGCCATGAAAATTATTTAAAAATTTTGAATAGCTCTCATACTACTTAAAACTATATTAAATTATTTGCCAGTATTTTTAGAGATGGCATATAATAGATCTTAAGCATTTCTGACAGCTATATAAATTATTTGTATTATCAATAATGTATTATTCTATAACATGGCAAAATCATTAATGTACTACATA